CGTTAGCCTCCAAGGTCACCTGACATAACTTCATTGGATTTTTACTTTTCGGGTTATGTCAAGGAGATACGCGAACTTGATCGAACTTCAGAACACCATTACAAACGTTATAAGATACATTGATAGAAGAACAATTCTAAAAGCTACAAAACGTGTAATAAACAATGCCCGAAAATGTATTGAACAAAACAGTGATGTGCTTGCAGATCTAATGTAAATTTCTTCTGTTTAAATAAAATGAAAAAGTCAACTCGAATCTTATTTCACAGCCATTTACAGTCAACTAGGCTAAAATAAAAATAAGCTGATAATTCGATTTTTTTCAATTTTAGGCCGATATTGCTTATGACCTTTTTTGTTTTAAAAATGTTGTACATTTGATTTTGCAAAGGATATACAGGTGTTTCATTTAAGAAAATTACATATTCAATTGTTTTTCTGTTTTCACCATTGTAATTGGCAGAAAAAATGTTAGTTATTTAACCGACGTTATTTGTACCTCCATTGATAACCAAGTTACCAATTGTGCGCACTTAATTTAGAACAGGCTGTATGTGCTCCACTTTCAAATCTTTCTCCTTAACAATTTTGAGTTTGTGACTTAACATACCTTACCTCTGAGGAGTTAATTCTAATGGCCTCTGGTTGATGCAAAGCAAAAATGCGATTCCTAAAGTACTCTTTCAGGACTTCAAACATTCTATTGGTCCGATAGAGTTCTGCTTCGACTTATGTGAATCACATCTTTTCGTATTCGGAATCACAATAATATGTTGTTGTGATTGCACACCATCCAGTTACCCCTTTTTGGGGTAACTCATTTGGGGTGAAGAGACTGCTCTATTGCGTTTTTTTAGATAACTTCTCTATTGGGATCTTAACTCACAATTAATTTAGAGGATGAGGACAAGCTAAGTGCATCAATATACATTTTTCCAATATTAAAATTTACTTAAACTAAATTTTATTATGATACTATAAACGTTTGTAAGGTTTAATTTTCCGGGTGCTGAATGGTTTCAAGATTGGGATGTTGCAGCAGTCTTTTTTCATACTTCTGTGCAAATTGTTTTATTACTTCGCTATTCTGGATTGGTTGCATAATGATAAGCATATGATAATTATTCTAAGAAATTTATTTTGACTACGTTGAATAATTAATTGATTAAGTAGCTTAGTACTACCGCACAGCTGTATCCTGTAAGTCCAGATAGACTTAATTATTGACTGATAAACTAATCTCTCGAATCAGCACATTTGTCTACTTTTGAGGCTAATCTGCTCTGCGTCTCTTACATGATATTTTCAGTTCAGTCTGCCATAAAGGTGGGAACAAAGATATTTTGTTGGTTCTGTTTGAGGAATGAGGCATCCTCCAAGAGACACAGTTTGCTGTTTCAGATTGCTGTTTATTCGCCACAACTCAAAATTGACGCTTTCAAGCTTTTGTGGTGTATTTTCCAATTCCTAGTCCATTTATAAATTTAGTTAACTGCTACTTGAAGTTTCTCCATAGCTTTTATTCAATTTCATTTGAAATAAGTCTTTTACCACAATAACTGTGTCATCAGCGAATGTCCCAATCTTTTGAAATAGGAATGTTTGCGGTATGCGACATGTATGTGACACTCTAAACTCTCTTTCGGAAAGCTATGATTCTAGTAGTCGATAGGGGCGGCTTTTTCCTGAATTTGTAGACGAATCTGTGATTGTCAAATGCAACTTGCTTTGCCGGTTTGTTGATTGTTTTTCCTGGCAGTTCTTTTAATAAACCATGTAACATTTCATTAATTCCAGGAGCATTTTTGGGCTTAATGTTATCGATTTCCGGGGCAACTTCCATTGGTGAATTCAGCTTTCTAGGGATTTTCAGTCTCATAAATGTCGTAATACTGCTTACAATGACAATTGTCTTTTCGAAACACTTTTCTTGAACAACAATTTGTCGCAATCTTCTGGTTAATTCCGACCAGTTATAAAACTTGTCTGATCTGTGCTCTTGGGTTGTATCCTACGTTCAAAGGAATCCCAACATATCCTCTATTCAACCAATAAGATTTCATTGAATAATATAATATTTATTGATCACAATGTACTACACATCAGAATAAACAACTAAAAATGGTTTCCAATAAACAACTGATCAATCTTATGGTGAGGTTCAATATAATATTGTTCTTCCACCTTACCATATAGTATATAAAGAGAAAAAAAACAGTATAGCTTGTTAAATATAAAAAAAAAGAATCGCGACAACGGTATAAAGCTATAAACAAAACAAGAGTTTTAACTACTAAGTTTTAACATATAATAATTAGGTGAGTACTACCAAAGGCCACAACAAGTCGTTATCGATACCATGTCAGTACTCGAAAGGGTTCCCCAGAAATTAAGAACCTCCTGGCGGTGGCGGCAGACCCACACTCTGTCAATGCGCAACCAGAAGGGAGCTCAGTTAATTAGTTTGCATATCTGGTATGAGAAGCATTTTTTAAAACTCATAGTGCGGAATAATGGTGGAGATAGCCTTCCTTTAAACCTCACATTAACCGAGTGAACGTCACCCCGAAAGGACAACTTTTTTACAAGATACGCTGGTTTATGTAGAGTAAGTAATTTATGGTAAAATCCTACAGCATGCAACATTCTTTTTATTCTTTTTCTATTTTACAATGGGGTTTGGAGGATTTAGTACCTCACCTGGTGGAAATCTTCCAGGCATGCTTGGCGCTGCGCTATATACCCAGTCGGTGGCGTGAGGTCACAGTGAACTTCATACCAAAACCGGGTAAGCTTGATTATTTCACACCGAAATCGTTTAGACCAATCAGTCTCTCCTCCTGTCTTTTGAAAACTCTGGAAAGACTGTGTGATCGCTACATTAGAGATTTCTGTCTTCCAACTAAACCAGTAAATCCTAATCAACACGCCTACATTTAGGGCAAGTCCACACTAACAGCTCTTCACTCAGTGACCAGCTTTGTTGGTGGAGCGCTGGACCTAAAGGAGTCCGCCCTGGGTGTTTTCAGAATGCCATCCCTTGCTAATACTCCATTGGTATTGTCAAAAGAAGATAAATATCTGGGCATCACGCTTGACAATAAAATGAAATGGAGAGCCCACCTAGATAATAGAGTTAAAAAAGCGTACGTTGCTATAGGTAAGACATGGGGTTTGTCACCCAAAAATGCCCTCTGGATTTACACGGCTGTAATCCGACCTATACTTACATATGGTGCAGTAGTATGGTGGTCAAAGACCCTACAGTCTACATCTACTGCTGCACTTATTAAAGTACAGACACTTGCGTGTTTGTATGTTACAGGTGCGCTGCGGACTACCCCCACTGCAGCCATGGAAAACATGTTAAACCTAACGCCACTTCATTTGTTCATCCAATAGGTGGCATTGGTGACCATGATTCGACTGCGAGCAGCAGGAATTCTAATGGGTGAGAGAAATAGTAAAAATGCCAATCTCTGGAATGAAATGGTGCAATACTCACCAATTCTGGATTGTGTAACGGACATTACACCCCTACAACACATTTTTACGAAGAAATATCTCACCCACCCAAGTTCCACAGAAGTAGAGGTAAAAAACAGCTTTAAAATCTATACTGATGGTTCAAAGAGACGGGAAGGAGCTGGAGCCGGAGTCTTCTCGTACGATCTCCGACTCCACTTATCTGAACCTCTAGGTAAAAGTACCACCGTCATACAGGCGGAGTTAATCGCCATACAACTTGTCGCTGACGTTATTGTCAGGTCCAACTTGGTAGGTAAGACTTTTACAATTTAAAGTGACAGTAGACAAGCTATTTTGGCCCTGAGTAGAATAACAATTACCTCAGGACTTGTTATGGGTTGTCATCTGACATTGGAGAAGGCCGCAGTGCATAACTGTGATATACTTCAATGGATAAAATTACACTCGACTTGTTCAGGTAACAAGCACGCTGATAGGCTTGCCAAAAGGGCTGCCAAGCGAGCGCCATGTTCGCCTGAACCGATAATCGCTCCGTCCTTATCAACTCAGATTGAGATAATCAAAGATTTTTCCCACAAAAAGTTTATGAACTGGTGGGATAGGGTTAAGGGCTGCCATCTGTCTAAGGAAGTATTACATTATCCTTCAGCAGAGGCAGCCTTGTCTTTCGTAAGGCTTGGTAGAAACGCTCTACGAACTGTAACGGGACTCGTCACGGGTCACTGTAAGGTAAACAAGCATCTTTATAACCTTAAGCTTGCTGTTAGTCCTCTCTGTCGCCTCTGTAAAGAGAGCGAGGAGACGGTCCGATACATCTTGTGTGAATGCCCCACTCTGCAAGACCTCAGAATGAGAGACTTCGGAGAGGAATGGCCGACCACAGATGGCATCAGGAACACACCTCTGAGCTGTATCCTAGCCTTCGGAAATTCCTTAGGCTGGTTGATGTAGCCGGAGAGAGTGTAGGAGGACGTACAAGGGGCCCGTTGGGGCCTAGGTGCTGTATGCGTAAGCGTACCCTCCGCTTTCCTACATATATACATACATGTCCAACCGAAAACATGATACCAAGGAAGCCCCTCGAACAACCGGCAATCGACAACAAGAGAGTGAGAACCCAATCGGTAGTACCCACAATAAAAAACTAAAAATAATAAACGAATCACGTCGAATGGTTCAAAAATTATTAATTTTCTTTTCGTAAAGCTCAATGATCATCCTGTAATGAATATATATTATTATTATGAAAAATAACATTGATTGGTATTTATAGAGTAATATAGTATGTATAGCACTCTAAAAACATAAGAAACACAAGAGAATAAGCTACTTCAGTTAATATTTGATGTTTTATGTGACGCATTCGTATAATGAAATCATCGTTGTCTCACTTTTTGTTCGATTGTCGAAAAAAAAAATTTTTTCTTATTAAAAGTCAAGGTGGGGACATACGCACACCACTTTTTATTTAAAAGAAACATTTCAAAACCACTCCATCCTACTATTTTGCCGCAGAACTCTGAATGAAGGCGGGAGTATCGAGACGCGACGGTTTCAATTTCTTTTGCTAGTCGCGACTTCTTAACACTACCGTTTACGCACTGGGTTCAATCGCTCGATCGTTTTATTTTGTTTTAAAAGTGTTATAATAAAATAATAAACAAATACATCGATAGTGAAAAAGAAAATCAAAAATGAAAAAACTTTATTAAAACTGAAAAAAGTATTAAATTTAAATGAGTTATGTGACTTGAAAAGTGTTTTGGATTTAATATTTTTTTTATTATTGGTATGATTATTTAATAATTAAATTTTACTTTTAAATTTTTTGAATTTATAAATAACCAAAATTTAATAAACTGGTTACGAAAGCATTTATAAATTTTTAAGTATAACCTAATCCATATTGCGTAAATAAACGTGAACGATTTCAAACAAAATTAGCATTTGATTGCAAATACATAATTAAGGCATGACGAAATTGTCCTGATAAAGAACTTAAACAATCCGCAAAAAGTAAACAAAATTATAACAATTATTTAATTGGTTTAATCAGTTTATCCATAAACCAAGGTGAAATTCTTTCCATCAAGTCTATTCAACCTTCATTAAGAAAAAAAAAAAAATGATTATGCATTAACACAAAAAAAAAATGACGAATAAAAATTGTTTATCTTTAAATTTAAAATTTTTGTTTCAGATTCTAACAACCCTTAAAAATGAAATTAAAAGTGTTTTTAATTTTTTTAATGCGATTAATTTCAAAAACTGTTTGTGATACGTGTACAAAGTTATCAGAAAATCCTTTTCTTAAAACTATCATCGAGGGTGGAAATATAACCAATGGTTTACCGATAGATGTGCTTTTGGGTTCAATAGTCGACGATGAAACCATCTTGGAAAACGAATTGAAAGGGAAATTATGCCTGAAGAACATCACCGAGTGCATCGAAGCAGGTAAGAAGAAGTGTTTTGACCTTGGCCATCGTGCAAAAATGGTTTGTTAACTGAACCGGTTCCTTAAGTTATTTAGTAAAAAGACACCATCAATTTTATGGTGACAAACAAAGGAGATTCTACAATTTCATGGCGACATTTTATATTTTGCGAAATCTTCAATTAAAAAGTATACTTTTTATTTTATTATTTTTGTACTAAAATTATAATTGAAATGATTTTATTAAATCGTGAATGACACAATAGAAAGTATAAAACCAAGTTGTAACCTATTTGATGGAAAAGTCCAAATTTAACCTTGTGCAAGAAATAAAACCGGGTTGGTTTGTATTTGAATGGAAACAGAAGGACGGATAAAAGCAAATTGCGTCAATTCAGCTGGTTTTAACTGAACCACGCATAATTAAGTTTTCGAAACGAAAGGGATTCGAATGTTAAAGACTAAGTAATATTTAACTTTATAAATTTCTTAAAATTAGTTTTGCGCAAGAATTAAAAGGTATAAGAGTGTTTTGAACGTTAAGCAGGTATTAAAACGAAGATTTAGGATTAATTTCTATAAAAAATTTTCCTTAAAGATTTCGTTATAGACCTGTATTATGTTGAAAATTAGTTAAACATGCAACAAGGTCGTAACAAAGAGTTACAACATTCAACTTTCTCACTTTAGATAACGGAAAAATTGATAATTAGAATTTTTTTTGCGGGATTTGTTACATTCATGATTTTTTTTAAAATCTTATAAACAAATAATTGTTTTTTGTTTAAGATAACCTTGTGAAATCATTTAGAAAATCGAAATAAACCCAAAAATTTCGACAGATTCATATTATTTCATCTCGATTACCTTGAAAAAAAGATTAAAAGAGAAATTATACTTATTGGGTATACAGTAAAATCACCTCGATATTACGGACCTCGTTAGAACGGACAAAATATTTTTAAATCTACTGTTAATATTATCTATAAGTAGAAATGTTAGCGCTGATATACAGGGTGATTCTCAACCTATACGCATAAACTTGGGGATTTATTCCTCATGACAAATAATGAGTAATAGGTGAAAAATATTGTAGCAAAAGTGTTTTGGCTTCTTAGATATCCATGAAATTATTTTCAAATCAATAATACATATAAGATTTTAAAATGACATCAAAGTATGTGTTCCAAGTTGTTTCCAATATTCACGATGTCCCACTAGCACGGCCTAAACCAGGATGTTGGCGGTTTGTCTCGGCAGCAGTTTGTACCTGATTTCGCAATCATTGCTTAGTATTAACTTCCTCAGCTGTAATGTTAAATGCCTGTGTTAATCACTGTATGCCATCCTCAGTATCAACTGCATAGCACTCAATTTTGATTTTGTAGTCTAACCATAGTTTACATTACATACTTTGTAATGTCTGCCCTGTTCTAATTCTTTTATCCTTACTTTGTCGAACGTTTTGGTTAGATCAACGTAACAGAGGAAGGCTGCCTAACGTTTTTCGCCGGAGTTCTATCTGATTCTTTGATACATTTTCGTCAATATTGTATGATCCGTACATGTCATTCTTCATCTCGTTACTAAATTTCGCCATGCATCATTTGTGTAGGCAACTTTTGCAATCAGAAGGACGTGAGCAAACAATACACTCAAATGTATGTAAGCATTTTTTTTGCAGAAGATTAAATAAGTATGGTGGTACCAGTTCTAAACAGATAAAATCGTTTGGTGTTGCTGTGTAAGATGATTTCTGGAAGCAAAGACTGTACACTTTGAAGATGATATGATAGTGCGGCCTAAACCAGGGTGTTGGTGAATTGTCGGCAGCAGTTTGTATCTGATATCGCGATCGAGATGGCCAGGCCTATGAACTACCTCGACCTGTCCATCTTCCGGGAAGTACCTTATCTAGATGTCGCCGGATATCTATGAAACTAAAAATCTTTTACTACAATTTTTTTCACCTATTACCCATTATTTGTCTCGAGGAATAAATCCCCAAGTTTATGTGTGTAGGTTGAGAATCACCCTGTATATAATCTAACTCGGGTTATTCCTCAAGTTGCGCTATTCCATGTTCATAGATAAACTCGGGGTATTCCCCGAGTTGTTTATATGACGTATAAATCAAGGACGGTAGTTCTAGTTTTAATTGTTATTCAGCGCTAGATTGTTGCATATTTTTATTGCACTAAAACTAGACCTAGAACTAGAAACATTCGGGTCTGAAGACGCACGGCTAAACCCGATACTTTCTAGTTCTAGGTCTAGTGTTAGTTCTAATTTTACAGTAGCACTATCACGAAAAGTAACACAAGACCTAGAACTGGAATCATTCGGGTTTAGCCGTCTTGAGAGACGTGCGGCGAAATCCGAATGTTTCTAGTTTTCGGTCTAGTGTTAGTTCTAGTTTTACACTAGCACTATCACGAAAAGTAACACAAGACCTAGAACTGGAATCATTCGGGTTTAGCCGTCTTGAGAGACGTGCGACGAAACCCGAATGTTTCTAGTTCTCGGTGTAGTGCTACTTCTAGGTTTACACTAGCACTATCACTAAAACTAGCACAAGACCTAGAACTAGAATCATTCGGGTTTAGCCGTCTGGAGAGACGTGCGGCTAAATCCGAATGTTTCTAGTTTTCGGTCTAGTGTTAGTTCTAGTTTTACACTAGCACTATCACGAAAAGTAACACAAGACCTAGAACTGGAATCATTCGGGTTTAGCCGTCTTGAGAGACGTGCGGCGAAATCCGAATGTTTCTAGTTCTCGGTGTAGTGCTAGTTCTAGTTTTACACTAGCACTATCACTAAAACTAACACTAGACCTAGAACTGGAAACATTCCGTTTAAACGTGCGTCTCTTAAGACGGTTAAATCTGAATGTTTCTAGTTCTAGGTCTAAAGTTAATTCTAGTGACAGTGAAAGGCAGCGCTAGTTAGCATAAGATATCACTATGTTACATATTTTTATTGCACTAAAACTAGAACTAACACTATACCTACAACTAGAAACATTCCGGTTAGCCGTGCGTGCTTTAAGACGGCTAAACCTGAATGTTTGTAGTTTTAGGTCTAATGTTAGTTCTAGGGATAGTGGTAGATAGCGCTAGTTAGTACAAGATATCACTATGTTGCACATTTTTATTGTACTAAAACTAGAACTAACACTATACCTACTACTAGAAACATTCCGGTTAGCCGTGCGTCTCTTAAGATGGCTAAACCTGAATGTTTCTAGTTTTAAGTCTAATATTAGTTCTAGTGACAGTGGTAGGTAGTGCTAGTTAGCATGAGATATCACTATGTTGCATATTTTTATTGTACTAAAACTAGAACTAACACTATACCTACAATTAGAAACATTCCGGTTAGCCGTGCGTCTCTTAAGACGGCTAAACCTGAATATTTCTAGTTCTGGGTCTAATATTAGTTCTAGTGACAGTGGTATGTAGCGCTAGTTAGCATAAGATATCACTATGTTGCATATTTTTATTGCATTAAAACTAGAACTAACACTAAAACTAATACAAGACCTAGAACTAGAATCATTCGGGTTTAGCCGTCTTGAGAAACGTGCGGCTAAATCCGAATGTTTCAAGTTCTCGGTCTAGTGTTAGTTCTAGTTTTGCACTAGCACTATCGCTAAAACTAACACTAGACCTAGAACTGGAAACATTCCGTTTAGACGTGCATCTCTTAAGACGGCTAAATCTGAATGTTTCCAGTTCTAGGTCTAATGTTAGTTCTATTGGTGGTAGATAGCGCTAGTTAGTATAAGATATCACTATGTTGCATATTTTTATTGTACTAAAACTAGAACTAACACTATACCTACACCTAGAAACATTCCGGTTAACCGTGCGTCTCTTAAGACGGCTAAACCTGAATGTTTCTAGTTTTAGGTCGAATGTTAGTTCTAGTGACAGTGCTAAGTAGCGCTAGTTAGCATAAGATATCACTATGTTGCATATTTTTATTGCATTAAAACTAGAACTAACACTAAAACTAATACAAGACCTAGAACTAGAATCATTCGAGTTTAGCCGTCTTGAGAAACGTGCGGCTAAATCCGAATGTTTCTAGTTCTCGGTCTAGTGTTAGTTCTAGTTTTGCACTAGCACTATCGCTAAAACTAACACTAGACCTAGAACTGGAAACATTCCGTTTAAACGTGCGTCTTTTAAGACGGCTAAACCTGAATGTTTCTAGTTCTAGGTCTAATGTTAGTTCTAGTGATAGTGGTAGGTAGCGCTAATTAGGATAAGATATCGCTATGTTGCATATTTTTATTGCATTAAAACTACAACTAACACAAGACCTAGAACTATAATCATTCGGGTTTAGCCGTCTTGAGAGACGTGCGGCTAAACCCGAATGTTTCTAGTTCTAGGTCTAGTGTTAGCTCTAGTGCTAGTATCAGCTCTAGTTTTAATTATTATTTAGCACTACATAAATATAAAGCCAGGTAGACTGAACGTAGCGGTGTGAATAGCTGTCTGAATTTGTGTGCAAAATTATTCATTCAAACAGTTTAAAGTGCAAATTAAAAAGTTTTCGTATAACGGACTTTTGGCTATAACGGATACTCCCTTCACTGTATTAGTCCGATATATCGAGGTTTTACTGTATAACAAGTGATATAAAAAATGGATAATAAAAAATAATTAAAAATTGCCAATTAAGAATTGTATTCGTTATTTAATTTTATGACAGCAAATCCTATTAAAAAAGAACACAAAAAAAGTTATAAAAAGTAGTTAAAAAAATTTTAAAATGTCCTTGAACTTTAAAAGAATTAAATACAGTTAATTTTTTTAATACCAAATGTTTGGGATTAAAAGTAAACAAATTTCTATAAAATTAAGAGTTTAGATTGGAAATATTTGAGTATGTCACAGATTTGATTGCGTTTAAATTACAAAAACTTGCAAAATCGGTTCGCGAAAGCTGACCTTAACAGACCGCCACCTCAATTATAATCAACACATTTTAATTGATTGAAAGTTCGTTG